ATCAATAACAATAATATTCTTCTAATAGTATAATTTCATTAATTAAATCAATGACATTCCTGTTTTCGAATTATTTTACCTTCCTTTCAATTACACAAACATATAGAGTGAATTAAGATATTTCCTCCCTTCCAGCTAATTCTTAATTTCATATTCCAAAATTGCTGAACAAATCAATAGTACAATGATACAACAAAATTATAATAAAGTTAGTAACAATGTATTATTAACAAAATTACAATTACAGAGAAGGGATTTTATCAATCCTGATCTCTTCTTGACGTCTTCATAAATAACAAGAGCGACAAAAAGATTGCTTTAAAATACGAGAAGCATAAAAGAAAGGAACGCAAAATATTTTGAAAATTACGTACGCTGGTCGTAAGCGACGTATCCGCATATCAACGTTAGTACTGTGCTTGAGATTCTCCTGGTGGAACGGCACAGTTACTCGTTGAACTTCATCCGTATTCGCGTGTGCGCCTGACGTCGTCGCAACTCTTCGAGTCAGTGGCAGGGATGCACGTCGAGACATCTGAAACGACTCCGAGGACGTGTTTCACCCTTGCGTTCCGTCGATTTTTTATATCGAGCACCGTCAACCTACCCTTGAAGATTTTTCTCATCGTGAGCTTGTTCCATCAACATTCAACCACATTTTTCTTCAGATATGATTCTGCATAAATGCAAAAACTGGAACCTTGATTATACGAATCTGACGATTGATCATAGTATACGAATTTTATTTGATCGAATAATTTTTTTCTCTCATATTATCATAAATATCGTTTGTAATATTCATGTAACATATACGTGTAATATAAAATAATACATATTTCATACGAATATCAGCCCTTCAAGGGGAACGCCAGACGTTGATGGATTTAAATTTCTGATAATTTCCACGGAATTAAATTACATTAATGATAATGATTATTATTAGACAGGTTTAATAACAATTTTCTTGTAGCTTTAAATGCTTACGTGTTGATTCAATTCATATGTATGTAATTATAAAATTTATTATTGTTGAAATAACTTCAAAATTGTTGCACAGACATAGACGTACGTTGTTGCGAATAATATTATTATCGTGATACATTGAAATAAAAATTCTTGAACAAAAATGTAGCAATTTCTGTTTCTGGTTCAATTCTTCATACAATCTTATTTTAATCATAATTTTGATATATCGAATAATAATAATAATAATAATAATTGTAATATATCGAAGAGTTAATTGTCATGGAACAAGTGTTTTTTTTTCTTAATAAATTAATATCTATTTTTCTATTTTTTTTTT